TTCGTTCATTAGTGTAGCGAAAGTAGTTGGGAATGTCTCGGCGGTACTTCTTCAGGCTTTTCCTTCCTTGCGCTGCTTCCGAAAGTTTCGGCTACGTTCGAAAATCTTTTTGCAAAGCTATTTTGCAACTGTGGTTAGTTACCGCTCGAGATGTGATGCAGTAAGATCTAGTCCTAATGCTCTCTAGTAGATTTTTGCTGGCTTTCAAAATTCGTTCCAAGAGTTCCTTCGAGGCATTGAGGCACTTTCACCACAGGCGGTTAGTCTTCTGAGAGGCAGGTCGTGATCTTTCGTTGGGTCCTCCTCGATGGGCCAGTCACAAGTGTTCAGGAGCTTCTTCAATCTGACGTCGTCTTGTAAGACTTCACTCCTTCCTAAAACGGTGATAGATTTTCTTTTCCAGCTTTCGTCTGAATCGCACTTTTGTTCGAAGGAGGCGGTGATCTGGATCACTACCGAAGGATGCCACTGAGACTCCTATCAAGTTTCATGTTCGGTTGGTGAGAATGTGCCTTCCACATGAGTCGCACCACTGGGTGCCCCAATATCCACCGCCGGCGTTCTTTCTTCATGAAGATGGAGTTGCCATGAAAAAGTCGTGCGGCGGATAAGAACTCAATGGGACAATCATTATTCTCATACCGAAGTTTTGATATAATCTCCCGATTCTATGCTCTCGTTCTTCTGGCTTCCCAATTTTCACATAGAAATTCCCCACGACGAATTTGCAAAAAGAATTCTCTTCGGATGGCTTTTTCCATTTCCTCATAAAAAGCATGAGATCCTATCACCTCCCCTGCTCATCCTTCGTCTTCACCAGTTTTTCGTTAGCTGCTAATGTTGGAGGACAGCAGTTGATGATAGTGATGGTTTTCTGATGCAGAGGACGGAGTCGAAGGATAGCCAGGGCGAGGTGATAGGATCACATGCGAATCGACGAGATGTACAGCAGGTGGGTTCGCCATAGCTGGGAATTTATACAACTTCTGCGTAGTAGAGGCTTGAATCTAATTTTGAAATTCATTTATTACTGCACCTTGTACAGCAGAGAAGGAAGCTAGAAAGGTCAAATATTGCGATGGCCAAGTTTATTTGATCGCAGCCATGCATTATCTTTGACATACAACATTGATCCTCAAATATATGACAGTAACAAATTGGCACTTAGTTAAACACTTTTCTGAGCCCCTGGTTGACGGCTCTCAGATTTCTATAATAATTTCTATTCACGTATCAAACCTTAATTATTTTTTAGCCAGCCTAATTCTAGATCGTGTTTTGCGGTGTTTTTGTTATGAAATCAAGTCCACAAATGTACTACCAGGACAACAATGCCCTCTCTCCTCTGGGGTAGGTATGACCATATATTGGAGTGATACACAATGTGAGATACATCATCAGGATGCTTTGAAGCTTCAAAATTTATTAAAGGAATCCTTCTTCCACCCAAACCTTCAGCTTTGACGACGACGATTTTACTCCATCCCAGCAAATGAAATGTGAAATTTATCGCTGTGTGCAGGCAAGAGGATACTGTAGTGATGTTGACTGCGCTTCAATGGGATTCAAAACCTATATTGATAGCAGTCGTGAAAGAGAAGAGAACTGCAGAAGTGACAATGACTGTCACTTGTATCTTGAAGAAATCTGTTGGAATAGTAATTCCGACTTGTTTCCCATCCCAAACTCGTATAATATCACTGTTTGTGAAGTGGCAGCAGATAACGGTGAGGAACTGCCACTAACGCCTCCTGGTCCGCAACCTGGCATTGTCGACAAAAAGACCATTCAAGAAAAAGTTATCTCAGTAGATAACCGTGAGGAACTGCCACTAGCTGATCCGCAAGATCCTGGTATTGTCGACAAAAAGACCATCCAAGAAAAAATTATCTCAGTAGATAACTGTGAGGAACTGCCACTAGCTCCTGCTGGTCCGCAAGATCCTGACATTGTCGACAAAAAGACCATTCAAGA